AAGTGTCCAAGGCCAGGCTGGATGGGGCTTGGAGCAACCTGGGCTGGTGGAAGGTGTCCAGGGTTGGAACTGGATGATCTTTAAGGTCCCTTCCAGCCCAAACCTTTCAAGGACTCTAGGATTCTCCAAGGATACCTCTCCAGGAAGCATCCCCTGGCCTGAAAGTGCTGTCCTTGAAATGAAGTTTTATTAATCAAGCAAGATCAAACATCCCAGCTTGATATCAAGGTGGAGCTGACAGAGAGGAGTTTGTTCTGCAGGAGTTATGGATTTGAACCAAGTCACCTGTAACAGGATCATCACAATCCACCTTCACAAAGGTCATCTGGGAGGGTAAGTCCCCAAGACCAGAAGCTGAACTGGGAGCCTGAGCAGGAAATCCAGGAGGTGGGGTCATGAACTCGACACCCTCATGTCCTTCCCACTGAACTGAGTTAATTTTCCTCCCTCTTAACGTGTTCCATCCAAAATATCCCACCCAGAGGGTCGGAAGTGACTCAGGCACTGTGTGCTGGGTTACTGCCCCGGGGTGGATCCACCTCAGAAAACACAGTGGGGATGCTTTTCCTCAGCCCGGCCCCCTGATCCTGAGGCTCTTACATGTGAGCAGCCACAACTGAGCTTTCCAGAAGGTCTGGAATTCTTGGATGTGAAGGGTAAGATGGCAAAAAACCCCTCCCTGCAGCTTACACTGAGGCAACGAGTCCTCCAGAAGAGCTGCCCATCTGGCTGTGACCAGAGCCAAGGGGCCAGTGCCAGGTCCTGCCAGCCCTGCATTCCAGGGCCACCAAGCTCCAGGGATAACTGGTCTTAAGGATTTGGAGGAATTCTGGTGGGCTTGGTCCTCCTTGCAGATCCTCCCGCGCTTCCACAGGGAACAAAATCCAGCCTTGTATATTTGGAGACCTGAACTACCTGCTGCCTCCTGGTCTCCAGGATTGTACATTTGGAGACCTGAACTACCTGCTGCCTCCTGGTCTCCAGGATGGAGGGATGCCACCTGGTCAAGAGTTTTGGGAGAACCAGCCTGGACGATCCGTCGGGAATCCCAGCACGGACACATCGGAAGGACGCGCAGCCCTCACAAAGGGCAGCTCGGGTTTTCTGGGAAAGCCATTAAAAGCTCCAAATGGTAAATTTAGCAGATGACACCTTGGGAAGCAGCCTCCAGATCCCTCTCCCAAGAAAGGAGGATGGGGGGGAGAACCTCCTGCCCCGTTCCCTTCCCAGAGCACCGACGGC